CTGCGCGATCCTCCAGGAGCAGCTGGAGCATCGCACAGACGCTAGTATGCATGCGTGCGCCGCGCGTGCACGAGGACGCCGCCAGCCCCATTCCAACTGAACCGGTTGGAACGGGGCGAGAAACCCACCCCTGGTATGAGGGGAACTTTTACTATTCTTGGGGTTATTCCTCCTTAATCTCCAGGACTGTCCTCTTCTGGGTTGGTTATTTTTAAATCCTACACATGGAAAAGTAGCACATCACTAGAAGAGTTCTAGTTTATTCTTATATTTTGTTGTTTCCCCCCATCCCCAAGGGCTCGCAGTGAGAGATACTTTGAGTTCCCTCTTCTGGAGAGGTACCTGACTTGCAAGCAACGTTCCCATTACTTCATCATCATTTACGTATTGAGGAATCTCTTCCTCCTCTTTCTTCTGGCTCTCAGCTGCCTCTACTTGGGATACTGTCATTTGCAGGTCTTCTTCCACGATAAATTCAGGTGTTCAATCAAGGCAGGGCTTCTAGAAGAATCTGATGTTCCAGACTGGATTCCTTGCAAGCTGGTTTTCTTCTCCGTTTTCCAAATTACCAGCATCTGTCTTGGGTCTGTATACGTCCTTCTGGGCCCAGTTGTCCTCTACCATCTGCTCCAGCTGTGTCAGTGGGACAAGCGGCTTCTGTCCATTTATGAAATGCTGCCGGCGTTTGATCTCCTCAGCAAGAAAATGCTGACTTGCCCATTTAATGATCTCAACATCATCTTGCTCTTCCTGCGGGCCAACATCTCGGAGGTCAAATCTTTCAGTAGGCTGAGTGTACTGAGTACTCTCAAGGATATTTCACCCAACAAAGAAAACATAGACACAGTTGTAGATTTTATGACACTCTTTGCTGGCCTTCAGCTAGCAAAGCCAAAGCCTAATTCCAATGCCAACGAGAATTTGCTCCATCTTGAGAATGAAGCTGGTAAGTAACACTCACTGAAAGCTGTGCTGAAATCTGCTTGTTTCTTGGGGTGTTTTTTTTGTTTTGTTGTTGTTGTGCAAAATATATTTCTTGATACTCTAGTTCCGTGATGCTGAGGCTGGTGGAGCATGAGGGGTGCGTCCCTCCCCCATGGCCTGTTTTTTGGTCCAGCAGGCTGCAGGGAGGCCTCCTAAGCCAGTGGTGGGTTTCAAAAATTGTTCGAACCTACTCTGTGGGTGTGGCCTCCTTTGTGGGAGTGGCTTGCCACCCCAGATATGAAGATGTCGACGACACTTGTCAGAACCACCTTAAATTACCTCAGACACAGCACCGGCATGCATAAGAATATGATGTAAACTTGTTTTTTNTTCCGTCCTTCTCATTGCCTCTGCCTTTTTCTGAAAGCTTTTTTCTTTTTCTGTTTAAATTCCAGCCGTTACTTTGTTTGGAGTATCTGCTTGGAAGGAAGGCCAAAAACTGGCCAGAAGCATCCTTGGCCCACCACTGAAATATCAAAATCTGAAAACTGAATTGAAAAGCAAAGGGATGGAGCCTCTCCAAGGTACTTTCAGATACATACAACAGCTTGTATATTTCATTTGTTCTGGTTCAGGTCTAGCGGAAGGGAGTTCTCACCCAATTGTCATGATACGAGGGGGAATGGAAAGATAAGGTCTGCTTCCTTTCTTTCCATCCCTTTTCTTCTTTCTTTATTCCTTCCTTCTTCTCCCCTCCATCCCTCCTTCCTTCCTCCAAGTGCACAGAATACATTTGCAAAAAGGAGACATTCAGAAGAAACACAAGATCTGCAGAGAAGTTCATCGTGTGTTTTTCCCTTCACTCTTTTGATCATTTAGTTCCTACATTTCTGGGGAGAGCATCGGAGGTTTTGCTCCTGGGAGCCACCAAGTCCTTTGTGTAGTTCTGAGCAGTGCTGAGCGGTTCGTTACTGATCATTCCGAGGGTCTTTCTTTTCTAACTGACCAAGGTGGGATGGCCAACAACATGGCTGAATTGGGTGTGTGTGTTCTTTCCTCCAGAATCTCGGGGGGATCCGCTCACCGTATCCCGGTCAGAGCAAAGCTTCAGAGGAAACGGTCAAGCTGTGCAGCCTGAGATGAAGAAGACAAAACGAGAGACGCACGTGGCCGAATTAAACCATAAGTGGCAAGACTGGGAGAAAACTGGCTGGACACAGAAACGGACCAGGGGGCACCAGAAAGCTCCAGATGCAGAGAAGAAGAATGGAAACCATCCAAGACCAGCAGGAAGGACGAGGAAAGCAGGATCTACCAAGGGTTCCTCGGATGGGTTGAAGACCACACCTTCTCCTGAGAATCAGAACGCAGCTGCTAAGATGATGGGCATGAGAGAGACGCCCAGGCCTGGCGAGAGAAGACGGAATGGGTCTTCTCCGAAAAGTGGAACTTCCTGGAAAGAACGGCGACCCACCACCACGTTGGTGGAGGCCAGGAGGAAGCCCTATAGTCCCGAACAGCTCCGTGAGTTTATGGAGCAGAAGGCCGCTGAGAGAAATAGGAGGATCCAAGAAGAGAGGAGGACCTCAAGGCATGCCCAAGAAGAGAGGAACAAGAAACTTCAAGAAGTCTACCGAAAGCAGAGAGAAGCAGCCGGCAGAAGAAGAAGAAGCCATTGGGCAGGACAACCGAGAGAAGACCTGACCTTCGTCACACCCGCCAAGAATAATCTTGATTTGGTAAGGAGCCTGTGGTTGGATAGAAGTCATCAATGAAGGAGGGATTTTGTTAGAAAGATGGGAGTCCCATAAACCACGCGGTTTAATGTCTCAGAAACCGCAGCCCACACCAGCTGTTTGTGTAAGATGCTAAACTGTGGTTTTTATTTATTATTTATTATTTACCACATTTATATGCTGCCCAATCCCGAAGGACTCCAAGCTGCTTACAAAAAATATAAGAAAAAACACATAACGATAAAAGAAAACAATTTAGAGGGAGGGGAAGTAGGGTAGAGGGGAATGTTGGAGGGGAGATGGAAAGTTGGAGGGGGGCGAAAGAAAGGGTGTATGGAGGGTCGAAGAGGTACATNTGGGAGGCAATTGGCAGCAGGCGGTCTCTCAAGTACCCAGATCATAACTAGAGCATAACTAGAGGGCAAGAATTGCAGTGGGGGGGAATTCAGGATCAGGATATTTAACCAGAATTTTTTTTCTCTTAAAAGTTTTTTTTTTCCCAAATAGCTCTGCTTGGAAGCATCCTGAAGCTATCTGCATTTGTCTAGGGCTTGTGAGAAAAAGGATGATGGAGCAAACTGATCCAAAATGTTTCTTATTTCTTAGAGCCCACACATTATTAGAGGGGAGACTTAAACTTAAATCTATGGTATCAAATTCCTTTATACTATTCCCGCCAGGGTGAATTATTAAATAATCAAACTTCCAGGCAAGAGGGGATTATTTTAATAGAGACCACTTAAATCAGAAAGACAATTTGTAATTTTTAATCATGGATGGAAATCATACTTCCGCTTTGCTATTTCAGATGATTGCCTCAAAAACAACAAAAACACACTGACTGGCACAACAATACAAGTATAACTCATTCATTTTTACATCCTACAGTATCATTATCCAAAAAATTTACCTATGCAAACAAACAGTAATCCAAACACCCATAGATTTATAGAAACTATGAAAGGGGAGCAATTGTAAACCAAGAATTTTTGTCTGGCTCTTTCTGTGCACTTGTAAAGATTTTATAAAATGTAAGCCCTGCTCCAGTTTACTCTTAAAAGTACATAACAGGTAGTCCTCAACGTACAACCACAATTGAGTCTTAAAGTTAAAGTGAGACAGCTGTTAAATGAATGTTGCCCCACTTTACCACCTTTCCTTGCCACAGTTAAGTGAATCACTGCGATTGTGAAGTAACACCTTTGTTAAGTGAATCTGACTTACTCACTCTGTGATCCACTCTTGCAACCATCTGACTTTGCTTGTCAGATGGTTGCAAGAGGGGCTCACATGACCCTGGGACACTGCAACCGTCATAAATGTGAATCAATTGCCAAGCGTCTGCATTTTGATCACGTAACCATGGGAAGCTGCAACGGTTGTTAAGTGTGAAACATGCCTTAAGTCCCTTTTTTCAGTACCATTGTTAACGTTGAACGGTTACTAAACAAAACTGTTGTAAGTTGAGGACTGCCTGTACAGTATTTGGAGTTTACTCCCAGATACACACAGATTACTAGAAGGTTTGGGACAAGTGACTAGAATCTTCCATATAATGTGATTCTAACTGCTTGGCGAATATCCATGCTCTTTTGGATACAAAATCATCACTCCTTGCATATTAATTTACACATACGTCTGCTGAATAACTGCATACTATTGAATGAATGAATGCAAATGATGAATAATTTTTTGCCCTTGGAAGCTGTTCTGCATAGAAATTTGAGGATTAATTTGAGATGCCTACCAAAGGGTTACGGACTCATTTTCAGAATGATTTATGTAGACAAATATGTATCTTGCTGTTGTCTGCAGATTTCATTTTAAAGTAGGTTTTTTTTTATTTAGGATAAAACTTTCCATTAAATTAAGCATGACTTGATTTAAAAAAAGAATGGATATTACATGCAAAACACTCCATATCCTTTCATTTGCAGTTAAATTGCCATATTTGCCCTGGCTGTCTCAAACAGCCATGTAATTATAGGGAATGTTAACACTGTGCTTTTTCATTCCAACTCTTAAATTTGTTAAACAAAGAAAAGAGCCATACAGGGGCTCAAAAATAGAGGCACAGCATTGCAAAACATTTTAAATGAACGTTCCACCCAGGGATGTTTTCAGATTCACAACTGAAATTCTCACAGACATCCCTCCTACTTGCTCCCTAATTTAGGAAACAAACCATCTAAATCATGGATTTCACTAACCCCCTCCTACAGCTAATCTGAAGTATACCTCCATCTACATTCAGCCCACCCTTGTCATAGGTCAATCTGACTCTCCCACATGAAGGACAAGATCAATCCAGGAGCAACAGCTGTTCCACGGTAAGGATGGATGGAGAAGTCACCTGACCCATATTTAATTATGAACTTAAAGTTTGCATTGTCAGATCGAGACAAGCTGAAACTTACTTCTCCTCTGAAGTATCAACTTCTCTGAATTTTGCAGAGCTCCTAGATTTATTAAAAGGGCAAAGTGTACCCAAATGCCAGTATTAGCGAAAACACCAGTTCTTAGGAAAAAAATAATGATTGTACAGAAATACACACTTTAGCTCAAATTGCAAAATGATTGCACGCATTTAAAAATAAAATACCAATTTTGATTCCAGCTTTAAAAAATACCTAATATGGAAATAGGACATTTGAAATTGTTAAATCAACGAAATGAAGAATCCACAACATACTGAAGCTGACAGATTCACCCATCTATATGCCAGAAGTTAAATTTTGAAGAGCAAAGTCAAATAATCTCTACCATCTGGAATCCTCTAGCTGAAATAAATCTTAGCACATGAAATATCTATCTTCTCTTAACCTCAAGTCTGTATTATTTAACACAGGTTAATCCATTATTGTTTCCTATACATTATTAGGAAACCTCAGGCATTTGTCTGTCTGTCTGTCTGTCTAATTCTGGGAGTTGAAGTCCACAAGACTTAAAAATTGCCAAGTTTGGAGACCTCTGGTCTAAACACTATACCCAACNACTGTGGGGGCGATATGCTGACTCTGTAAACCGCTTAGAGAGGGCTGAAAGCCCTATGAAGCGGTATATAAGTCTAACTGCTATTGCTAACTTGGGTCATAAAGATCTTTTTTTGGGTGGGGGGATCCATCATAACTATGAACACTCACTAAGTAGTTTGGTCTTAAGTCAAGGATATTGGCTATCTGCTACTAGAGATCACTTTCCTTGAGATAGGAAGCCCATATAAATTTGGTTAATAAATAAATATGTTCCACTTTAAACTCCTGGTGGAAAACAATTGAAATATTTGAATTACAATATCCAATTCCAATCTAGGAACTACAGCATCATCTTAATACAATCCTTTCTTTCTTTTATATCAGAAACGAAATCTGCTTTGGAAGCCAAGAAAAACTGACTCAGGAATGGATTCGCTAAGAGCAGCAAATAGCAGAAAAATCGGAACCGGTGAAGACCATTGAGCATAAAAAAGGGCAACCAGTACCTCCCTTTGTGTGAATTTGGGGTCATCTTTATTCATTCTATTTTGGGGGGGCAACCATTTGTCCATTAATACTGTTTGTTTTCTCCATGGATTTTCACATTTATAATACATATAAATGTACAGAATTCCTACTTGAACCCTAAATTCTGCATATTTTTTTTACTGTCTGACTTTCTTATGAAGCTAGATTTATATTTCCTCTATGACAACTCCAACACTTCTGGCCCTTCAGAACTCTGCTACTCTCCTTAAAGCTTATAAGATCCTCGTTTTAAAAGTGGACTTCTGTTATCTCAAGTTTTCTACTCTGAAATCATTCAGAAGTATATATATATATATAAAAATAAACCTCAGGCAATTTTAAAATAGTGTGGGGCACACAATCCATGGAGAGAGAACAGTTTGAAATGCATCTTAATTCCTCTACACAAGGTGGTGAAGCTTATAAGCTGGTTGAAATTGATACGCTGAAACATCTTTCCAATGTTATACAACTTTGGATAATCGATTTAAAATTACATTCTTCAAACTTGACACTGTCATCATAAAGACCAGTGATTAGATTGATAGGGTGTATTTACCCATTATTTATTTACATAAAATTAAAATCGGCTAGATAAGTCATGCCCCCTTTTAAAAGAAACTGTTAAAAACCTGCTGAGCCAAAGCCAAGAATGGTGGTTTAAGTACAATGTATGGAAGAGGCTTATGCTTCTTGTACTCACTAGTTGACTTATGAGAGCTGAGCAGCAAGTTCAACCAGAAGCAAAGTATTCAGAGAAAATTCTGTGGTTCTAAATAATTTATGGTTTTAAATATTAGGAGCTGTGGGTTTCGGGGAGATTGTACTTACTTGGTGCCTGCGTGTCAGACTTGAATCTTGGAGACTGCAGAGACTTCTTCCTGAAAATGTTTTCTTTGCTTCATTTTTGGAAGTGATTTTCTCTGGCCTTCTTCCCGGGGCTCACAGTGCCCCCAGCTGCCTTAGTTCCTAGTTCCTAATGTGGAGCTAAGGATTCTCAATTTCTAACACTGTGCCTTTAACACTAGAGCCGAGGTGGCGCAGTGGTTAAATGCAGCACTGCAGGCTACTTCAGCTGACTGCAGTTTGGCTG